GAAGCTGAGCTGAAGAATCTTATTTATAATAAATCTTATTTGCATGTATAAAAAACATAATGTGCAGTGTGTGGAGCAGCTACAGGCCGTACAGTGTATCCTCAGCAGAGTTGTGTGCCGCTGGCGGCTGTTCCTGCCGCACTGAAGCAGTAATTTATTCATTGAACAGGTGAAGGCGGCGAAGAGTGGGCTGGTTTCTCCTCGCCTAATGAAAACTCAAATCCCTCTGACTCCTGTAAATTGGTTAGGAGGTGTCAAGTGTCTCCCAACACGTCCCCACCCAACCCCTCACTCCCTCCCATCTCATACACACAGACACACACACACACACACACACACACACACACAGAGTCGACTCATAAGGTCGTCTCACTGCAGACGGCAGAGACGTGACACTTTGATCCTCCAGCTCCTGTCCTTCAAGGACACACTTCCTGCACACAAACATACACTTCAGCTCAGTCACACTCAGATATGTACACACACACACACGCACTCATGTCAGGCTCCACTGAGGCCGTGGGACAACCCCATCTGTCTGGGAGCCACTGGCTGTGACATTTAAAATTGATTACAAAGGGAAAGATTGATTATGATAATGTACACTTATTTTCACTCATTACAGAGTTATGGCTGCTCACTGGGCTCATAAATCACTGCTGTAACCTCAGTCTGACGTGTGTCGTCTTTGCTGAGCCAAGATCGTCCTCAGGCTGAGGTCATGATTTTGGGGTTATTAGTGATTGGAGCAAATATTCGTGTCGTTTCGACATTCTGTTCCACACCTGACGCAGACTTTGACGGAGTACAGAGGACTTGGGACATTGCTTTTAACCCTTTCAACCAATCAATCGTACGTCTGATATTGCTTTTGTTGTGATTAGAGCCTGACCGATATATTGGTATCGTATCAGTGTGTATATCCTCCAATGTGTGCTGGTATGAAAACTATATTTACCGATTTCTAATGCAGAAAGGGTTGTAGTTTTAACCGTACTGATGTTTATCTAAACTGCACAAACCACTCATTTTTGATTAGACGATGCTGCCATCAATACCGTCCACAATGTATTTTTCATTCATACCCTTTTTGTGTGTGCAGTTAGTGTGTGGATGAGTATGAGAGAGAGTGGTCCAGAGGAAAACAGAGCAGTGAAGTTGTCAGTGTGGTGTTGAGAAGCTGCAGCCTTTATTCACTGACAGACTGAAACCTACCCTGTACATTTACTGCCAAAGTAATGCTTCCTATTGTTTCTCAACTGCGTTGATATGACAGTCAGCTCCGCCTGTGGTGAGGGGTACTATCCAGTGTACTGTCTACAGTGAAAAATGAGGTAGATGTAGCAAAAAGGAGTAGAGTCGTGGCATACCATTTAGTTTAGAAATAAGGCTTTTGTTGCCTCGACACATTTGATTGACAAACCATAAGGCTTTTGTTGCCTCGACACATTTGATTGACAAACCAGGATCGACTGTCTAAAGTACCTAAAAACAGTTGGGTTTGGTATCAGCTGCAGCTCAAAGTGAGTGGAGAAACAGAGATTATGTTACACTTCGTTAAGGGACCAGTATGTAGAATTTAGCTGCATCTATGGGTAAAGATGGAGATTGCAACTAACACTAACTGTATTTGACGACCTGGGAATGAGAACAGGCTGTGAAGTGTCGAGGAGAAACTATGGTGGTCGCGAAAAATGCAAAAGACCCAATCAAGAGTCAGCGTTTAAGCTCCTGTAGTAGAAAGGAGACGTACAGTACGTTACTCGTCTGAGTCCTCAAACTGCCTCAGAACTAGCTGATCATCATTTTTTGGAAAGTTAGTTTTGTAGGCTTGAGTCATATTACTGCTGCTATCCTAAAGTCTGTCAGTGCAGAAGGAAGCTCCTCCATCGAGACGATGCTTGAATCAAGCAGTTGCATTTACAGTGTGAAGAGGGAAAGTTGCAGACTACAACCACCACAGTGTCTCTATCTCGTCCTGATTGTGGGTGATGTCACTGCTCAGCTATGCCTGATGGTGTAATAAGTCCTTACACTCTCAGAGGGAGAGGATGGTAAAAGTTGAGATTGTGAAAATGCCGCTGCGAATGCATCTGGCTCTCTCTGGAAGTTGCATGACATCACGTAGACGCTCACAAAACCTCACTGGATAGATTTCATTGTTGGTTCACCATGTGTGCTTGAGGTTGTATTTCAACACTCAACTTGACAAACTACTCTGCATTAGTAGAGCTGACAAGGAACTAAACGGGTTACAGGACACACTCTGAAGCTAGCAGTCCATACAGATCCATGTGGGCTCAGAGGCAGGGGGTCTTGATTTGCTCCATGTCCAGGTCTTTGTAATGCTGAGCAGTTTAATTAGTTTCTCTCCTCTTTTGTAAATGATCTGCTGCTCTATCTCCTTTAGTTTCCTTTGGTTTTAGGACTGATTTATTCGTTCTTACGTGTTCTTTTTGTTTCTTTTTGTAGTTTCGACATTAAACCCAGCAAACTGTCGGCATATCTTTCCCACTCAAATGAGGTCTCGGATCCTGTTGGTGTTCTGCTTTCTAACAACAGCATGGATGCAGTCAGAGAAATTACAAATGCTACCACAAGCCTAACCGTTTATTCTTGACTTTGAAAATAGCATTTGTCAAAACAGTTTTAACCGTTCCAAGATCCAGTTACTAGCTTGATGGGCATTTTTTATAACCTTGTGAGACAGCTGGACTTGTCCAACGGCAAGCAGGTTGATCTGATTGGTTGAAGTTTGCCCGTAATAGACGGTGATAGGGTGGGTGAAAGTGCCCGCCCTTTTTCCAAACAGTTGCCAACGACGACTTCCCAGATGTCACAGTCAGGTTAACAGATTAAACATTAGTTGCAGCCCTAATGACCATAAAACTTCCCATTTTGTCAGGTTGTTTTATTACATTTGCTTTTCTGGGGGACCGAGTGCTGCTTCTTCAGGCGTCTGTCTCTGCAGTCCTATTAAGTTCTGTCATTGTTCTCACCTGATCAAAGCCAAATTTAATGAAGTATTGCTGCCTCATTTGAAGGAATTAGCTCCAAACCATCTTGTGAACATACCCTGAAGCAACTACCAAGTACTTGTAAGAACATGGTCTCATATCTGACTCAGGATTTTTTCTCTCCTGCATCTTTTCTGTCTCTCCAAACTGTGAACTATACCCCCCCACCCAAAAAAACCCAGAGTACCATAAAATTACCTTTAGAGCACCATAAAACACTTTAGCTCCCTACCTTTTTGTTTCATGTTTCTGTCTTCTCTCTGTCTCTAATCTCTCCAGTGCACCACTTTGTAACCTCCCCTGTAATCTTCCCTGCAGCCCTCAGTCACTCTGAGTCAGACTTGGGTCATGGGAACTCACAGCTGCTCGTCCGGCCCCATGCAGTTGACAGACAGCGAGCTCCATTTCGGTTTGTTTGCTGATGCCCGTGAAAAAAAGGAAAAAAATAGCTCTGCACCTGAAACAATCCAGAGTTTGAGTTTGTTGCTGTGGGATGGCGGAGTCCGTCTCCCCTGGAAAGTAGGGCATAGTGTGCAGGCATGCTGGGCTTTTACACCAAATATCCACAGAATAATGTAGTGTAGCACTAAGTAGTCCATGGTAATTAATCTAATGTTGGTATTATACAACACAATACTTGTTAATCTACTATCACACTTTCAGAATTAGCTGCACTAAACTAAATTTAAATTAAAAAAGTTACAGCAATGTTTCCTCAAAGAAAAGCTTGATGAATGTGTTAACTTCTATCAGTGAAACAGACCTATTGATTACATCTGGTCAACTCTCAGCCCAATGCTTAATGTAGAACATGTGTCAGCCTGGTTTTGATCAGCAGCACTGCTTTGTACAGATTTCATATCAAACTTCATTATCGACTGAAAAGTATATAAAGTTGGCATTGTCAGATTCATAGTTTTTTGGTTTTATTCTTCTTCAACAGTCAGATCGGTTTATAAAAGCTGGACCAAGTTTATCTCACATTGATGCATTGAACAATTTGGCATATTTTTTTGTTAAATGAGGAAAAAAGGTTAAAGCATGCTTATGTTTCTTATAACAGTTGTTCTCAAGCTATGGTAGAGCTCCCTTTAGAGGAATCTAATAAAATACTAATGCTTATTCTGCCATGTTTCAGTATCGTCAAAACTTTGTTTGTCATTCTCATTTGTTCTAGCAAACATGCACTGATAATTTCTGAAAACTTGTACAAGCAAAGTGTGCAAGCACTAGTTAAAAGCAAGTTCTTAGAGGTCAATTATAGATTTCAGTACACTGTAAGAAACCCAGTGAACAGTATCGATTCCATCATCCCAAGTGTCCCCTCCGATGCTTGATTTAAAAGGCACACCGAACCTTACCAGATCCCTGTGGAAAAGGCAGGAAAAATGAATTTCCCCATTGGAAATCAATACATTACCACACAAAGTGCCCTTGAGCAAGTCATCAAATCCCTGCTAGTTCCAGGGGTGCTGACCTCCCTGTGGAGCCGCCCTCTGGGATCAATACCGTGTCACAGAAAAGGTGATGGAGAGAATAAACCCCTGCCTGATCCAGAAATGACAATGGGAAAACTGGATTTAGTTTTTTTGGTCACATTATCACAAAAAAGCAGACCTGTCTGATGAAGTATGAAAAATGAGTTCTGTTGAATTCCAGGTGAATGTTTTGCGCTTGTTAACCAGCCTCAGGCAGATGGAAGCTAATCAGTGACAGCAGTGTGGGAACAGGACTTATTTTCCCATCGTTACTCACCTTTTATGCAAAATATCTTTGTGTGTTTGTGTGTGTGTGTGTGGGTTTGAAGGCACTCATGTGTGTCAGTTTATGACTGACAGCAGCTCATGTCTGAGTTTCTGTGTAAACTCCACATCATGTGCACGTCCACGTCTGTGAGTGTTCGTATCTGAGTTTCGGTGTGTTTTCTCTGTATTAGCGTGCACTATGATAACCTCTGCCCCTCTTTCTTTCTCTCTGTTTCAGCGAGCGTACACTGTGATAGTGGAGGCATGGGACAAAGACAACGGCACACACAGCAATGGTGAGGATCACCCCTGTTATAAACACAGTGTTACAGAAAAAGGTTTTTTTTACATGTCATAGGTGTATGAAATGGGATTATACTCAGCTCACAGTATTTGCTTTACATTTTGGCTTCCCATAATAATATATAAAAAAAATATAATAATGTTTCATAATAGTGTAACAAGACCTAGCTAGCAAGTGCTTACTTGGTTGGTTCCTTTAACAAGAAGACTAAAGTTTGATAACACGCGGGCACTTCCTGTGAATTTCTGAGAATGTGCACAGCCAACGGTCCAAATAATTTTTTAAAATTAATTTTACCTTTATTTATTAAGGGGAGGTTCACTAACAGGCCTTTTCCACCAACAAGGAACCAGCTCCCTTCTAGTTCAGGCAGCTAGTTTTGAACTGTTAATTTTGACCACAACTTAAACTTGAGAAGTTTAACAGCTAGAACCAAAACATAGCAGGTTTTCCTTGGGAACCAAAGTGGGCATGTCATATTACACATGTGCAACATACTATGGTTCCACTCAAAACTCTCTTAGCAGGAACACCCTGATCACATTCGCACAGTTACACAAAATCTGTTCTGCTGTCTAGTTAGATGCGTACACGTAGTTAAAAGCAAGTACATCTCCGGCTTAAGGACTTGGTTATACTAGAAAAGAAGTGTAGTTGACAGTCAGAAGTGTTTATAGTTGTTCTGAATGGTCACACCAGAAAACATAAAATTAAAATATGGTGATAATGGTACAGATTTTAATACAGTTTCTTGTGGAAGACTTTAATATTGTTGCACCTGGTCAACCACAACGTGAAGTGGATTTGAATGCCGGATTTCGGCTTTGGAGAGATACAGATGTGGTCGGATCATCCAGCACATAGTTCTGATGTTGCACCTTTTAAAGAAAAGATCATGGTGACTTTAAAATCAGAGGAGTTAATGCTCAGGGGAACAGGAGCATGGTGAGGAGATTTAATACCAATCTTCCAACCAGATTGTGCAATATCCTACCATCAACCAATTAAAGCTATGGTTTCAGCCATTTTCAAGTACTTCCCATTTTTAACATGTTTGTTCCTGGAATCTTGGGATTGCTGTGAATGAAATTCAATCACATTAATCGGGAAAGAATGTGGCGTTAAATCCTGATTGGCAGTCAACGTCTGTTTCTCAGACAACATGATCGCCCATCCGCCTTGCTCAAGAGCACCTTGGCGTAGTCCTTGTGGAAGGGGTGTTCATACAAGGATAGTATGTGATCATCATATTGAAGTGCATGTCGTAGCACAGGTGGTATTTCGGTTGTTCATGGCATGAAAACCTTCCTTTCCTAGTCAAGTCAATCAATGTTGATCGTGTTACTCAGGCTTTTTAGATCAACTTACAAAACCAATAAGTTTGGTCCTAACCTGCCTGCACGCTGAGTTCCCAGCTGTATCCTGTTTTTACACGCTCCACTCATCCCGAAACTGTTTGGTTATGTTCTCCAACACCGCTGGGAGGAAGAGGGGTTAATGAAGGGATGTAATCTATGTAATAAGACAAAGCAGAATTGGCTTTGTTCGGTTTTGGCTCACAGATGACTTGATTTAGGTCTCAGATCGTTAAGTGACTTCAACTATCTGCCGATGGCTCTTTCTTTGTTGGGTTTTTTTTATCACCAACGAAGAAACTCATTCCTTTACTAAAACTTTCTTTCATCTATCAACCTCGAATTGCATCTTGTTTCCCTTTCACATAAATTACCTTCAGATCTGAGTGCTGCATCATGAATAGTGTTCACCCCCACCACCAATTATACAATTCACCATATCTCAAACTTTCACCTCTCTTTCGAGTGTGGCTACTCGGAACAGCTACAAGGCTTGTATTAGGCCTGTCACGACAACCACTTTTGTTTACCGATAATTGCGATAAACGATGTTACTGCCATTTTAAGATCATTGGATGCCACTGATAATGTGGTAATATAATAGCATAATAATGCAAATACGCCCTTTCAAAGAGCAGTGAACTTTAAGCTCCTTGAGCCTCGCCCATGGTGAAACTCTAACACTGAAATCTGTGCTGAGACACGTTTTGCTGTCATTTCTGCTTATAGGCGTTGTGAATAAACGCTCCGGTGCTCGCCAAAGTCTTATAATTTAGGGAAAACCCTGCTATCTATTCTGGCATCACATCGGTGACATTCTTATTGCACGCTGTATTTACATGTGTGTTTATTTGGATATTGTATGATACGTGACCTCGATAATTTTTGCTGACAGGCCTAAACGGGAGAGGCGTGCCATGTTTTGTGATTGTCACGTTCATACTGACGTCTTAGAAGATGAACGGCCAAAAAAAAAAATAATCAACTTTGAGCTGAGCCTTGAACTTTCTCATACAGAGATCAGTCTTATGAATGATTGACAGGCAGCTAATTGTGCTCCACCACCGCCATCCTCCCCCCTTTTCTCACCCTCTTCAGGGTCACTTAGACTGTTTTCGGCCCTCCTCTATATTAAGCCCGTGAGAGCATTGCATCGTTAAGCCATTAATTACGGGCCGCGGCTCTCGTTCCTCTGATGTCTGTCTCCTAATTAGCGTCCCGACAGCTGTCCGGCTACCGCACACCACTTCATTATCCTGCAAAACTGTGACAGGCTGGCATCCACGCTGCCGTGCCTCGGACCGGACAGCAGCATTGACGCTGGGACACTTAAGTCTTTGCTTGCCCGACCACCTGTAGATGTGGCGGTGGGATGGCCGGAGGGACGCCATATCAATCCTTTAGAGAGGCGAGGCTGGGAGGCAGTGACAGGCAGGCAGACAGGCAGACAGGCAGGCAGGAGGTGCTGACGTCTCGTGTCTCGTCTTGTAGACTTGGTATATTTTCTCATTGCGTGATCAGGAGTTTGATCCCGGAATCTGTCAGTGGGTCTGTCAGCAGCCAAGTGTCCCGTCAAAGTGAAACCTTACCTTCTTGCTTCCCTTATAACTCATACTGGATAAGCTAAAAATATGAATAAAGCAATAAAGCAGAATTCCACCTTGAATGTTTATTGGTGAGGGGCAGTATGTTTCATGAGATACTTGCAGATTAAGTGTTATTATCTACTTCTCGTGTATCTACTTTCACTTGTCTGTTTCTGCCTCAGTTTGGGGTTTCCTTCATATTCAGGAATTACTTTCGACACACGTCAAAGAGCAGGCATGAACCTGTTGTACCCAGCTGTGGGTGTCGGGGGCAGGTGGAGCGAGCGTTAGTGTTACTGTAGTATGATTAAAGAGAGAGAGTTGCCATCTGTTACAGGCCAGGTGTGAACAGGAATAAGAATCTAGGGATGTCCCAATCAAGTTCAGTTTTGCATGAGAGCCTATTGTGAGCCCTCTGATTGTCTGCCAACACAAGCAGACTGTACTGTATATTCATACTTACACATACGTACAGTTGTACATTGAACTTTTAATCTAAAGTAAACCTGCAGTAAATATAAGTTAGTAAAACCAAATAGAACAGCTTTTAACACACATTTCTTAAGTGGTTTCCTAACATATGTTGTATTGTTTCCCATAGGGAGATAGTCACTGGGTTTCATAAAGGTTTACGTTTAATTTAAAAATGCAGATCTTTCACTGGTTTCACTTTCTCAAATATGAGAATTTGCCTCTTTTTTGAGATTAATTGATTAATCGGCTACACAGTGGGGGAAAAAATTTCATATCAAGCTCATATCAATCATAGAATACTAAGAAACATGGCAAATATTTACCTGACAGTAGCCTGACAGTATATCCGTTAGTCAGTATATCAGTCATATCAGTATATTATGCAGAAAATAATGGTTGTGGTAATAAATTGGTGTCAGTGCAAAGTGCAGCAGCAAGCAGCACAGAGAAAGACAGAAGAATGTCAACTAGATTTGGCTGACAATGTTAAATTATTTAACATGTAAAAGAATAACTTAACTTTAATATTCTTCAGTGAAGTTATTTGTTTAAGAAAACAGCCTTCTGAGTGCTTTTGGTGCAAAATTGCTTCATAATCCAAATAGCAAAGTCTATTTTCAATCCAGCTCAAACATTCACTTAATCAGCTGCCATGTTGGTAATCTGTAAGATTCTCCCCTCTAAAATCAGGATCGGTTTCAAAAATCCTGTATCAGTACAATGGGTTACAGTAAAGGAAGACATTGATCATTAAATCCATTAAAAGTTGCCCAGTACCAATCCAAAAGAGTAATATATATTCTGCCAAACACAACATCACATGATGATAATGATCATAATGATAATGGGATTACAGAAAGGTGGCTCAAGGTGAGGACCTGAAGTGAGTTTCCTGCCCCTGCGTTAACAGTCTGTGCTGGCGGAGTCTTGTGTGAACAGGTCTGGGCAGCAGGTTGGAGAGGCCCCAGGAAAAAGAAGGCTTTGTGAAGACTGTTTATGCTTCAGGAAGCCCCCGCCTGTTTAAAAACAAAACAGAAATGGCAGGAGAAAAGAGGACGGAGCTGTTGTTGACTCTGTGGGCTGGTGCATTGTTGGCTGTGGAGGGGGGGGTAGAGATACACCGATACTGGAGTATGTGTATGTGTTGATATTGTGCTGAGGAACATCTGTACTGGAGACTCCCCCCCCCATCAAAAATACAGGAGTTAAAACTACAGTGACCAGCTAGTTTAGGAAATGATTTAGCCTGTTTTTAAAAGTGAAACTGAAATTACTGAAACTTCCTTGGGGCCAGTGTGATTGTGGATGGTAGCCATAGACGGAGTAGGGAAGTGAGAGACAGACTAATACATTTTCCTAACAAAAACATAAAATATTGCCAGCCTTATCTTTACTTAAATAAAGGTACAGAAACTTCTTGTACTGGCAAGAAAACTGCACTAAAACCTCCCAGCCCCCCCCCCCCTTTATGTCAGACACTGATTTATATGTTATCGTCTCAAACTAACAACTTCAATCTTTACAGTATTGGAAAAGTAAAGTGGTAGCCTGCTCATACAATGATAAAGATTGATGTGAGCAATGACAACTAGGTAATTTGCATCTTTACTGAAGTGGTTGTGTGTGCCAAGCTTTATGTAGCAATAAAATAAAAGATTCATGCGTTTAACTCGCATCTATTCTTATAATTTATGTATAAGATGATTGATTTATTTCAATTGCCTTGAGGAATAAAGAGTGTGACCAGAGGCTGGGGGGCAGATGCTTCCCAAAACAAAACAAACTCCTTGACAACCAGGTTATCATCGCTGGTAATGTGAGACTGATGCTTCTCATTCTAGGTGTGCTTTTATTGTTATTTATTTCCATTCATGAGCTATACCACAAAATAAGTCTGAGGGGACACAAAATGTAATAAAATGGACACTTTAAGGCCTTTAAAACACCTTCAATAAGACAACCTGAGGAGGAAAAATCCCCTTTTGGTTTAACTGCTCATAGTTCTTGTTCACAGTAACGCCATAACCTCTAATGAGACTTAATATTTATATTATTTCACATAATATTTTTTAAAAAAAATCGGTTTATCATTTTTTTAGCTGAGTTTTAGCAGTGAGATGGACTTTTATCATCACTTTTATACAATTTTATCCATCTGATGATTTTTAGATTAACTGAGAACAGATGGACTGACAAAAAATTGGTAATTAAGACTCTTTTTCGGTGCAGGCAAAAATTTGGCAACTGGCAAGTACCAGAAGCTGCCATTAAATGTCTGATTGGATTTTTTTTTACTCCTGTTTGGTTATTTTCTGATCAGATTCTTCCTGATTTTAATAAAAAATGATGCCAGTTTTACATAATTTTATTTGGCAAAGTTGTGATATGGCTGCTTGTGATCAGACATTTAATATTTTCGAACTTTCATAAATAAATCAGAGCTTTGTGAGTAAATGTAAAAAGTTTGAATTTGTGCATTTGAATAAAGAAAACAACAACACATAAATATCATTATCAGATATCAGGTGAAGGACAATGAACCAACTTCAGTTCAAAGATCAACGCTGTTACAAGCGACAAGCTGTAAGGAGGTCAAAGGTCAAAGCAGAAGTGCCACAGCCCCCAAACAAAACACTCCAGTTACAAGCAGCTTGTTGCTTGTAACTAAAAACCAAAAACTGTTTTGTTTCTAAAATAAATCTTCATGCAGACAATCATGTTGCTCTTGACGCGATCAGCTGCTCAGATCTGAAGCCCCTCGTTGTTTATGTAAGAGCTGGTTTTATATGGCCCACTCTCTGCTGCTCTCCCTAGTAACAACGGCCTCTCTTAGCGCGTCTCCTCCAGCACAGAGAGAGCTCATGATTGGTCTATATTTTTATATCTAATTGCTGGAGATGAACAGCAGTGAGTGAGTGCCTGGGTGTTTCAGGTGGTGGGTGTGGGACTGAAATCTGTGGCAGTGTGTAAGCTCGCAGAGAGACTCAGTAAATCAGGACAGCGTGAAAATGGATTCTTAGTGGGTTTTTACTCTTTTTCTACAGTCTCAAACTTCTGTAGTTATGATGATGATATTAAAATATACAAGAGGAGGTGTGTGTCTTTATTGTGAAATTATAAAAGCTTTTGAAATGAAGCTTAACCCTTCAAACACGGAGGAAAAAAGTGATTTAAAGGTTCAAGCAGTAGTTCAGAATTCAGTGTTTAGAGTTTAATGTTACGCCTAAATGAGACTATAATATATAAATGTGTAAAAGAAATGACCTCTCCTCCTCTTTTGAAAGGAACCCTAACCCTACACAGAGGAGTTTTGATGCCTGACTTGGCCAGTAGTTCATGGTGGCTAATGTACTTTGTACTTGTAACTTTAGAAAACTTTAGATGGATGTCACTATGAGTCAGTTTGCTAGTGTAGTGACTCTTTTCTACTTTTAGGCTACTATTAAAAAAAATGATACAACGTTTACCAAAACAAAACCAAAGAAAATCAGGATGAATGGATGAATTTCACCACAATTAATCAGATTTGGTATTTGATGCAATTTGGCTTCTTCAATTTATTAATGGGGGGAGAACATCCTAATTGCTAAGCTAAATAAACCATTTCAAAGACGTTTATCTTCGCTCATGACAAGCAGACGTGGTTTATCAATGATATCTTACGTAATATCATCTTTGTCATGAAGGGAAACGTTAACAGTAGCATTTACTGCAGTGGTCTCATGGTATTTTCGGTGGATTTAAACCATTACTTCCGGCTTACGTTGATGCCTTGCTCGACCCACTTTAAGAAAACAACACTGTGAGCAATGACGATGAGCTCTTCCTTCCACTTCTGTCTTGTCCGGGTCACGCTCGGCATTGCAAGCCACAGCAGCAAAGCCTGCTGGGTCACGGTTCTTCTGTTCCTTGAGAACAAGCTAAAGGGCCTTTCCTATGTCGCCCTTCCTTGTCTGTTCCCCGTCTCTTATTATTTCCGGCCTGGCTCCGATGGAGTTGGGGCTGGATATCCTGAGAGGTGGTGGGGTGGAGGAGTAGGGGTAGGAGGGGGAGTTGGGGACTGAAAAGCATTTCACCGAGCAGGAAAACTGAAAAAGCATTTGGGTTATCAAGCCCTCGCAGACCTCGCTCCTACACCCTCTGTTTGTGCTTGCTTAATTTTCCTATTCTTTCCCCCGTTTTCCTCTTTCTTTTTTTTTCTTCTTCCACATTCTTGGTGGGACGGAGTCAAGTTCGACCGGAGGTTACACCTTCCCTCTGATGTGTGTTAACCATAAGGCATTCTTCGAAGCCTCATGGACTGTCTTATCTCCCGAAACACCGGGTTGTTGGGTCAAATCCCATAACCGGAATCAGCCCCTGGAATGTCATTCAGAACTTTTGTTGTTTAGGCTTTCCTATCTCACTGACCCGAATACTTAACCTGTTGAATGTTTTTAAGTTTTTTCTGTAGTCAACTGACTGTTGACTGTTTGCCTAACCCCTCTCCCATAGGAGATAGCTTAGCAACCGTAACTAGCACTAGCAAGAGATTTCTCCACCTAGAGCAATGCTATAAAAAAGAACCACTGTATGGCGCCCCCCACTGGTGCTAGATGCTAACATATCCAAATTTAGACTTTAGTTTACGCTCAAGGTACCCTAGACAAACTTGTTTCCCAAAATAGTACTATGTTTGCCAAACTCATGTGTTATGTACGCAAGCTAGTTGTTAAACACTAAAAAGGCAGCGTTTTCAACCAACTCATGGAGCTAAATTAGCTAGCTAGCTACAGCTGATCAAATCTGCCCTTGACAGTGGATAAAATTGATGGTCATCGTTTAATAAACAAGATTATGTGTTTGTCTTCCTCCTGTTCTAAACTCAAAGATCCTTTGCTTCAAAACTGATTAACATTTGAACATGTTTGTTGGGATTGGTTAATCCAAAAAGTTATCCACCGACTAATCGTCAAACATAATCTTTAGTTGCAACCATTTTTGGTCTTTTATATTAATGATGGAAGGACTAATCTAATGTCTGTATTGATTTGTTTGTCCTTTGTCCAGATGATGAGCTGCTGATTGAGCGCAGCATCTACAAAGGGATGATCAACCCCGGTGAGGAGAAGCAGATGGTAGACTCCAAAAGATCAACCCCCCGTCTGGAGTACGCCATCCGCGTACGCTGCGACGAACACTACTACGGCAGCAAGTGCAACAAAGTCTGCCGTCCCCGCGACGACTACTTCGGCCATTACGTGTGCGACCACTTCGGGAACAGAGAATGCATGGAGGGCTGGACGAATCTCACGTTGAGCTGCAAATCAGGTACAATACTGTGAACACATGCAGTAATACACAGGCCAATGTCTTATATTGTTTCTAAAGCTCCTCATAACAGCAAACCTGTTCATGCATGGGTTCTCGTGCACTAACAAAAAGCAGTAAAAGGTTCAAAGATTGTTAAAAAACTATAATTTTGGGAACTTTTTGTTTGTTCCTTTCTTTCCAATAACTTGAATGAATTTTTTGCTCTTCTATTTAAGATTCCTTATTGTCATTTCCACATACAAAGCACACAGGAACAAGATGTTTCTTGCGCTCCAAGGTGCTAATATGAATAAATATTATCTTTAAATAGCTACATTTGTTACTTAGTTAATTAACAGTACTATTTATTAAGGTGTCTAACCTTTTACTGCCTTATTTGTTTGTTTTGAAGGCTTTGTTACTTGTGACATTGACAGCTCAAACAATGCTTCAAAAGATGAAAACATTAAGCTACAAATATAAATAAGATGCAAATTACGCAAAACAAAATTTCTCTAATGAAGTAGGAAAGCAATAAACAGTTAAACTACAGAGCACTTGTGTTGCAAATAGTGCTTTAAAAATATGAATTCACCTTTATTTTAAGGCAAAAAATAAAAGTCTAATTTTTCTTTTGTTTTACCTCCTTAAAGCCCTTTTTGAAAAAAAAGTTTGAAAGTTCATTGAAGTTCATGTGTTACAAGAATTCAAAGAATGTTTGGAAACTCGTCTCTTCTGGAGACACCTTCAATTTTCCGACCGGGACTCTGCCATCCATTGTTACCAACGGCAAGAGATTCTCTGCCTTTTTTTCTGCAAAACAAGGAAACACCGGAAATGAGATTTTAATGATTTTACCACCTGCAGTAACAGGGTGCCTGGCAACAACTTAGAAAAGCTTGATTTTTAACAGGAGCTAACGCAAACGTATCACTTTTCTTTTTCCCAAAAAGCCATCTGCAAACAAGGATGCAGCCTCGAGCATGGGACATGCAGCGTGCCGGGGGAATGCAAGTGAGTCATTTTCTATTTTTTTTGTTTGTTTGTTCCACTTAGTTCACCTTACAGTGTGGCTGTCAACTGGTGTAAAATATGCTCCTGTTTGGATGGAAAAGAGTTTAATGAGGATAACAGTGGTGACACAACAGAGTGATGGGGGGGGTTGTTGATAACTTGATAACATACCAAGCAGCCTAACTCCATACCTCCCTCCCTGCCCCTCCGCCT